TTTATAAATCTTGTACAGTTCAAAGTTAAATCTCCTTCTCCAGTTATTGTTTTCATTTACACCACCAAGTATACTCCGCAAAATCTTTCTCTCAAATATTGCGATACAATTTTCCTCCAGTTTTGTCATTGTCCAAGCTACTGAGGCGTACGCCAAAACAGGCCGGACAAGAGTTTTGTAGATTAAGAACTTTGTTTTCCTAGAAAAAAACCTAGATTCAATCAATATACTCAGCCCATAGACAGTCCTATTCGCCAAATAGAGTCGGTTTTTTATTTCAGGAGTAATTCTGTTGTTAATGGTAATAATTGATCCTAAGTAAGTAAAACTCCTCTCTGTTTCAAATCTATAAAAATTTATTTCAAGATAGGGGTCTGGGACTCTGGTTTTTGAGAGTAACGTATATTTTGTTTTATCTACATTTATGACCAAGCCCATTTGTCTTGCAGCCAATTCAAGGGAAAGAAATGCCTCTTTCAGAGCAGGAAGGGAACGAACAATTATTTCAATATCATCAGCATATGCAAGTTGTTGTACTGATCTAGTAAAAATGTGACCACTGGTATTGATGCCTGAATCACGAATAACTCTCTCAAGTGCAATATTAAAAAGTAGACAGGAGAGAGAATCTCCTTGTCGAACACCTGTGAATGTGTCAAGATTTTCTGACAGAGACCTCAGAAACTTAATCTTACACTTTGTATCTTTCAATGTAAGTCTTGTCAACTTAATGAGTTTTGAAGGTATTTTAAAAGTATTCATTGTTTCAAAAAGATAATTTCTATTGATACTATCAAAAACAGCCTTGAAATCAATAAAAAGATGTGTCTCAATGTTAAATTCCATTGTTTTCTCTGAAATCTGACGGAGACAAAATATCTGATCTTTAGTTGATTTTCCAGCACGGAATCCACATTGATATTTTCCTATTTTTGAGTCAATGAATGGTAACTGCCTGAGATATAAAATTCTAAATAGTATTTTGTATGAAGACTAATGCCACGATAGTTGGCACAGGTCATAGGATCTCCTTTCTTGTGAATTGGGCACAAAATGCTAATATTCCAAACCGTTGGCATCTACTAAATTGAATTTATTAAACAAAGAATCACAATTAATAAACTACCACTAGATAATATTTATTCGCTGTCCGAAGCAAGTTAGCATCACTGTTTCAAGAATTTAAATTTACGATTGGCTATTTTTTGCAGAGTTAACAGTTAATAATTATAGGTGTCCACATCTGGTTGTGATTTTTAACTTTTGTGCAATTTTTTTTATAGTGTAATAAATTCCACTTATTTTTATAAAGTATAATTTTAGAAAAATTTACGAAATAAAAAATGCGAAAAATTTAGAAAGGGTACACAAAAGTCATAAATTTGAGAAACACTGCCCTAAAAGATGGTAATACCTACCTTTCCCGCAAAAAGTTGGGTGATATCGTAGTTATTTGTCAAGAAGTCAAAGAGATCTCTAGGAATATGGAAGTTGATATAAATAATAAGTTTGTTGTATTTGTTTATTACATCGACCTTGAATTTTATGTCTTTTTTTTGCTTTAATTTGATAAAATATTCTGTAATAAATTATTATTTCCAATATAAGATTAAATATAGTTAACTATTTTGTAAAAGTCTAGGTTACGGGAGGATCCTCATATTCTTCATCACTCTCAGCAGTTAAAATATCATTAGTACCAGTAATAATTTTATCAGTTGAATTATGACTTTACAGTTTCTTCATTTTTTAAGAGGTTGAATTTTCTTGGATTGTGACAAAATTCGATTCTGCAATTAGCACAGTGCTTGGAATATCAACTGGTTTCTTAAAATGATGATTTTTTTCATCCTCTGACTTTCCTCCCTGGATACAAGAGCAAATTTTACACTCTTCCCAACACTATTTGAATTTAATACCAAATTTTCTTGTACCAATTGACTTATTTCACTTGTATTGCCAAAAGCGAAATACAGTGAACTGTCAATTATGCACCGGTGTAAGGGGCCCCAACAGAAAAAAGCGCATAAGTAAAAGAGACGCAACGCAAATTGAAGTGACAACATCAATAAATATGTTTCTTAAGATTAAATGTTAATATTTATACTGTTTTGGTATTTACTATAATTATGCAAAGAAAAAATTTAACATACCTAAGGACAATTTATTTTCTTACAAAATAATCACATGTTTGTATTTGCCCACGTATTTAAAAAAAAAGTTTTTCCAGTCCATATGAATGGTTCGAATCCCGCCGTAACCCTGGATGTATTCTTTGTGATGTCTTTCTCTGAATTGTACTATCTGTATTTTCTACTTGACAATGACTTATAAACCTATATATTGAGCACACAAGTCAGCAAATGTATGTAATTTCAATAAAATAAAATTCAATAAAATCCATATGAATGGGATAAGGGAGTTTCGGGAGCAGAATTAAATTGTAAATAGTATCATCCACCACGTTCTAATCATCCATTTCATTAGCGATGTCATTAATGTCTTTTACTTCCGTTGTTAATAGATTATCACCAAAGACAATAAATTCATTAAGAGAAACATGTCCATTAGAAATGGAATTGCCTTATGCTTTATTGTCCAATGCTTCTCCATGCATCGCATACCATATAATCGAGAATTGAAATCTTTACGTCAACTGCTGCTGATTTGCCTTTTTTCAGTTCTGCTAGATATCGACGAATCAATGTTTTACCCAAGTAGCACAATTCACAAAAACGATATAGTAAAAACTTAGCTTTGAACACTGTACAATATAGTAGCGAAACATTGTACTATATAAAAATGGACTTTTATAACGTATATTCAATATCGCGAAACAATATCGTTCTATATTGTAAAAACGTTGGGGGAACGTCGATCGATATCTCTCAACATTTACAAACACTGTACAATGTTGACCGACATCGTCAACACGATATTCAAGAAACAAATGCTGTGGAATGCCGACAATCGCCAAAATGACGTTATTTGAGAAAATAGAAATTAGTTTTTAAAAATATTCATACCTGTTTGTAACCTGAAAAAAACTGATAACAAAACCGTTCTAGCTTGTTTAAAATTAAATTATTTGTTATTACCAAAACTTGTAGAATTTTTTAATTATTAATATTTAATAAGTTTGGGTAGGCAGGTATATTTTACTATTATTCTAGAAAATAAGCTAGAAAGTAAATAGTTTTGTTAAGATATTTCTTCTCTTTTTTAGGGTACAAGTAGCCATTGAAACTGTGAAATAATTTTAAGTGATTTGTGCTATAATTTTTACAGCATCTATATTTTACTATGTAGATTAAAATTACAATACGTTTAATTTAAATCGATAAACTTTTTTGCTATGACGTTTTAGTATTATATAATCTGTATTTTACTAAAATAGTATGTATGGAAAACAAAATACCTTGTCTTCACAGCATCAGGTTCGATTTTAAGATAACTGATTAAAAAGAAGGGGGAAAAAAAGCATATTTACACTGATATTGTCATAATAAAATCCGACTTTTTCAAAAAGTTTGGTATATTTTTTTATTCAATACCAGAAGGTTAAGAAATAATGCGTATTTATTTATTTAGCGAACCTTGACCAAGTATTTGAGTTATTTTAATGAGGAAACTAATATTGGCAATTTTTCTGCTTTTGCCGCATGGTACGTGGCGTCGCGTGTGTGATGACGTCAATAAGAGTATAATTCCCTGCTCCTTCATTGGCAAGGAATTATTTTAAAATTTAGAAGTTTAGTTATTTTGATTTTTTAACATATTTAGGTATATGCGGAATTTCAAATTTTCCTTCAGGTTGAATTTTATTTTTCAAGAGTATTGCCTAACAGGTAAAAATTTAAAAAAAAGTCAATTAACAACCATTAAAATTTTTCCAATTGAGTTCCTATTTTGTTTTTAATTTGAATAGTTTTTAATATCATTTCTATATGTTGCATTTAATAATTCAAACCAAGAATAATTAAATGAAAAAATAAGTCAAAATAACGATTTTTTCGAATGAATTCCAAAACCTTATAGAATACTGAATTGAATCGAGTGTATTAATACTTCAGTAATTTCTCTAACTGGAGTAAAATATGAGTTCAACAAACTTTTAATTGTTCAATTTTCTTGACGTTTAACATGTATCAGTTTATTTCGATGGCTGCCGTGATGACTAAAGAATGAATTTCCATTAAAAAGTCGACTTTTTTTAACATTTTAAGAACAGCTGTCTTAGTTCTTTGAAAACATTATGTAGGCCTTCTAAAAAATTTTTTTTTTAAATATAAATATTGTAATTTTAGTGCTTAATAATATGTTTCAATTTTTTGTACTATGTATTAGATTTGTACGTTGTTTTACTTACAATTTTTTTGGCAGGTTAAGTTAAAATTTTACTGACATAATTAAATGGATCCTTATCTTTGTGCACTGTTTTTAAGTATTTAACTTCAGCTTTTTTTGTATGTCTTATTATTTCGCGTTTACTACTACAATTTTCTCTTTGTTTACAGAAATGGCAATTTTCCAATATTTAATATATCGTTTATATAAGTAATTGCTAGATTTAGTATTTTATAGGGACCCTTTTTAAGCTGCAATAAGTCAATTTATAATTTATGTTCAGTTGTAATTAATGTTTGATATAGTATATCCCTTATCTAACTAAGCTTGATTACTTGTAATAAAGCTACAAAATAAAGTGATTGCCAAATAATTATTGCCTATTATGTTCATGCAAGTTAAAAAAACGACTTTTATCACGCCATCAGCAATTTAACTCCTACTTCGATAAAATTAAGATGCTGATTTTAGGATATGTTACTTCAAGAATATATTAAAGAGTAAAAATATTCTTGTTTTCAATACCTTATTTCATGTTTTAGGGGTAAAGGAAGCAACACACACGCAATACATATTAATTAAAATCACAAGAATCAGAAGATCAAATATATAGTATAAATAATAATAATAAAAATATAAGTATAAACAAAATATAAAGTATAAACAAAAATTTTAATAAGTTATCTTGGCTGCATTTACAGACTTCGGTCTTTATATGCACGAAAGTTGTTCACGTTTAACCTCATAGTTAATGATCCTCTTTCAATGAAAGTTTCGCAATCAAATCTCTCCGGTGAAGTGAATTGAATGTTCACACTTTCAGTTTCATGAAAATTTTAAATTGAATTGTTCTTAGATAAATAGAAATAACGCAACGACAAAGGTGGCATACGTAGAATTATAGCAAACCATAATCTTCTGAATACTTCTGCGACTTATCGATTTCAGCAATCACTGTTACAAGTCTATTCCGTTTAAGATCCTGTAATGAAAATACACTATATTACCTCTTTGTAACATGCTCTTACAATTCATAATGTTTGCAAAAACCATTATTTCTTATTTATAGAGTAGAGAGAGGAAAAGAGAACTTCAGAAAAGTGAAGCCATACTTGAGACCACCATACTGTGTGGTGCAAGGCCATGGTCAAATGCTTTCCCTCTACCTTAACGGAATAAAGGTACTTTTAATCGTAATTGTACCATTAAGCATTTCAAAATTTTATTAGCAAGTGTACTCGAAATTTTTTTTTATTCTTAACTGCAACATTAGTTTAATAATGATCTGTTTGAAAACCATTTACTAAATTATATAAAAACAATTAAACATGAATATGAAATGTATAACAAATCATTATCGAAAAACTTTTACTGTTAAACCATCAGTTTGAAATGTTTTTTTTAAAAAAAACTAAAACAATTCTTTTTAAAAAGATGTAAATTTGTAATTTATTTTTGTCTGGTTAAATGTAGTGATTGTTGCTATGAGCATAATTACGCTTGTTCAAAAGACTAACAATTTTTGTATGTTTAACTAATTATTCACTAAATTTAATTCAATATATTCTTTCATAATACCTTAAAGTGACTTAATTTGTGAAATCTAAAAATTATTCCCCTAACTGAACTCTAATCTCAGGTATCCACAATTTTTTTTAAAAGTTGGCAGATGCAATATAGATTATTCTCTCATACTTTGATGTTTGTGTTCATTAATTAAATTCTTTATTATTTCAATGACATCGACTCTCTACGATAAGAAAAAAAATGACTGATTCCTTCACAGGCATATAAAAGGGCGTGAAAAAAGATTCTATATAACCAAACATCACAAGTTTAAGTCTAACATTGTACATTTAATTTATTGTTTAATTATTCAGTTTAAATGTCAATACTGATTCTCTTTTTATTTATATCAATAGATATCAACATTTGAAACAAAGAAATCTTTATACACGATTTTTCTTATCAATCCTTATTTACTTTAACATATGAATGAGTAACGATATAGTTTTTCTTCTGTTTCATATGCGTTATTTTTACATGTTTGCTTTTCTTATGCGTTACTTTTAAGTGCTTAATACTATGCGTTATTTATAATTTTCTTATGCGTCAATTTAGTTAGTTTTCTTATATTGCACATTAAACTTAATTTTGCGAGTTATTATGTTTACTTTTATTTGTGGTGAGACTTCTACGCGTTTAATTTTTTATGTGTTACTTTTACAAACTTGTTACATGCATTACATTTTACATTCTACTTTTTTGTTGTTGATTTTTTCTTATAAATTAATTTTTACTTTTTTTATGCCTTACTTTTCCACTTCTCCTTCCTTTTTATTTTAAGCGTAAATATGTATTACGCTTTACTTTTCTTTCAGCGTTAGACGACAGTGTTTTAGTTACAGACAATGTAAACTTTACTTTTTTACGCGTTATATATTATTTTTTACCTATTATACGCTTTTAACTTGACTTTTTTTTTCTCTGTAGGTTACTTTTACTTGTTTATTTCTCTTATCTGTTGCTTTTACTTTTTTCCGTTTTTCTACTCTATTCTTTAATAAATAGTTTACGCTTTCCATTACTCTGCATATTTCCAGTTACTTCTCTCAATGCGTTATAATTTTACCCATGATTCCCGCGTTTACCTTACAAAATATTTATATATATTTCTTTGCTTTACTTCTAGTGTATGCTTTTCTTAAGCGTTTATTTTATATTATATAGTTGCTTTCATGCGTTACTAAATTGACCGCGTTTTCAATTGCACGTTATTTTTAATTTCTTGTATTTTTTATGCCTTCGTTTTCTTTATGCGTTTGCTATTCGTTTAATCTTCCTATGCATTACTTTTTAGCTTCATATTTTTCTAAGTGTTCCTTTTAAAAACCGTTAAATTTGCATGCCTTAGGCGGTGTTTTTGCGCATTTATTTTCCTCATGCGTTTTTTCCACGTTTCTCTACTTCTTTCTTTACTCTATATTTCATCTCACTTTTCTTAACCTTTTGTGAGCTAAGCATTGATTTCCTTAAGCATGACTTTAACGCGTTTATTTTAATTATACGTAATTTTTACTCGAATGCGTTTCTCATTGCTTACAAATTCTTTCTAAATAACGCATTACTTTTCTGATTGCATTACTTCAGTGTAACTTTTTTATGCTTTTATTTGAAAACTTCTCATGTTAACTTTCACACGTTACTTTTTTAATGCGTTACTTTTCGCGTTTACTGCTTTTATTTATACTCAATGTTAAATTAACGCGTTCATTTTACTATGCATTACTTTTATCTCAACACTTATATCATATTTTACGCGTTATATCATATTATGCGCTGTTTACTTTAGTATTGTTTACTTTTCATTACATGTTATATTTACGCTTCTACTTGTCTCGTGTGGCACATTAATTTTTACGCATTACTTTTACGCGTAGATATATATATATTTATGTCCTATTTTTCTTGCTTTACATTTATGCTTTTTAAGTTCTTTTTATGCGTTTACTTCCTTAATGCGTTACTTTTACTTTTCTAATGTCTTTTTCTCATTAAATGCAATCTAATTTACTCGATAGATTTATTTTTAGTTTTAGTATCCTTAAAGAGTTTATTCTTCTAATGCGTTACTTTTACTTATCCTATGCGTCATGTTTACGCGTTTCATTTTGTAAGGCAATTCTTTCACGCGTTATTTTCTCTTATGTGTTATTTTTAATTACATGCGTTGCTCTATTCTTTACTCCAGATTTTACAATATATTTTACGCGTCATTTTTCTCTTTGAGTTCATTTTACGCATTACATTTACTTTATATTTTACGTGTTTTTTTTTAGGTGGTACTCTTCTTATGCATGCATAAACTTTATTTTTTACACTTATTATTTTTTTTAATCTTTATCTTTAGACTCAACTTTTAATTCTTATACGCTTCAAACTTAGTTTACTTAACATATCTACTTTGTACTTTAATTTACACTACTATTCATATCCACTTTACACCCATTTTACAATTCATTACGCTTTTTTCCTAGACCAGACTAAATTTAGATTAAATGAAGATCTAATTTTAACTTTATATTATGTTTTACATCACACTTTGCGCTTCGTTTGCAAAACGCTTCTTTTTCAAAATTTACCTCAAACTATACGCTTTACTTTATACGATATTGTATTCTATTAACTTTTTATACTTTATACTTCACTCAATCTTTTTACTATATTTTATAGGTTACACTTACATTTTAAGCCTTACATTATTTTATATTATGCTATTATTAACATTATTATTTTATATCTCTTTACACGTTTTATAATATTTACAGTATGATTACATTATTTTATACTGCTTTACGTTATTCTATAATTTACTTTATTAACGTTTATTCCATATTTTACTTTATTTATCGCTTTGCTTTACACTTTCCTATCCTATATACTTCACGCTATCTGACCCTTTATTTGCTTCGCGCTTTTAAACATGCTTTATATTTTTCGCTATATTTTATTCATTACGTTACTTTATATTATGTTTAACTTTTTTATATACTTTGCATTTTATACTTTTCGCTTTACTTTACTCATGTTTTACTTTATACTTCATATTTTCTCTTTTACTTTGCCCGGTACATTACTCTTTACTACTCTTTTCATTATAATTTCTACTTTTTAATTTATTCGTTTATTTTTACTTAAAATGTTTAGAAAGAAAAGAGTAAAATGTTTAGTAAAGAAAAAGTGTCCATACTTTATATTTTAAGCATTACTAATATATGCAATTCTTATTTTACTCTTTATATTAAATTTTACACTTAATTTTACTTAAATTTGATTTACGCACGATTAATATCGGGATGATTCAGTAAAACATTTATGCCTTAAATTCACTAATTTATTATTTTTTTAATTAAAATTAGATCTTAATCGAGGATACGACAAAAAAAATTCTACTTAGTTGCTCATGATTAAATCATATCTATTTTACGCTTTATAGTTTTTTTTTTCACCTCAGTTTAGGACTATGTCGAAATACAACAATTTTTAATCACAGTTCTATAAATTTAATGATTTGCTTCATTGAGATTTATTTTAAAAATTTTATTTTACTTGGATAATGTACCATTCTTTAACGAGACATTTCAATTAAACGTTTATTCTTTTATTTCCACCGGATATTAATCTGGAGATGGTTTTATTATCATTATTAGAAAACACAGTTCCCTATCAGGTTCTGTTACATTGATCAAAAAATTTCAATCAATTTTTCTCAAAACCTTGAACGCTTTCAGCAGGAAAATTAATAATTTTACAGGGTGGTTACAAAATACTGTTAGACTTAAAAAAATTGGAATTAATTTTAATCGTTTGGTAAAACAGTTTTTCTCTGACTATACCTGCGATTGGCACTTTCTGCAAGTGCAGACGATTCTTGATTAAAGCAAAACATTTAGAATAACTTTAAAAGATGGAATAGAAAGGATTGATGGTTAAACAGCTTCTCGATCACGGATTTTCTGCAGGTAGAAATCCTCAAGCGCTTGAAATCTCTTGGGTTAAATAGAACATTTATATTATATAGAACTATAAATCGTTTTTGGATTCTAATAGTTGGAAAGTTCGATCTAGATCTGGTAGTTCACTCTCATTTCTTACAAAAATGAACACTTAAAGAATTCATGAAAAGATACAAAGAAATTCACAGCTCTCTACTAATAAAATGGCTACAGAAGAGAAGGTGAGTCAAAGAACTATGCAAGTTATATCAAATAGAGACCTGAGTTTCCGTCCTCATCTCAAAAGAAATGTTCATGGTTTGACAACTGATCAAAAATTAAGAAGGTTGCAAAAAGCAAGAAATCGCTGATCTAACAGTAACAAACTGGTGATTAGTTTCTGATGAGTAAATATTTTGCACACAACTAAGTTATAATACTAAAAATAATGTTGTATATTCAGCAACCTTCGACGCTATACTTGAAAGTGTAAGAACTGTTCAACGCTTTCAGTACAAGAATTCTGTAATGGTTTGGGTTGCAATGTCAAATAACGGAAAATTTTCTCTGGAATTCATCGATAAAAAGGTAAAAAACGATGTTGAATATTGCAAATACTTATTACTACATGCTGACAGATTGCATGCCAAAAAAAAAGGATATTTAAGCAAGATTCTGCATCATCACACGGAGCCAAACCAACATAAGCTTGGCTCCATGTCAATTGTCTGAAATTTATTAAGCAAGAAGATTGGCCCCCTTCACCAGATCTAAATCCTCTAGAGCAGTGATTCTCAACCACTGTGCCGCGGCACTTTTGGGTGCCGCCGAATTCTTAAAATGTGCCGCCAAATATTAGAACTGATACAATAAAAATTATAATGCTTTTTTTATTATAAGTAAAGTTTAAACTAAAGAAAAGTGTATAGATATATAATATTATATATATATATACCTACTTTTTATAATTTTTCTACGCTTTAACCACGTGAACATCTCTTTGTGGTCGATTGTCTTGTCTCTGACAATCTTAAAATAAGAAGGAAGTGTTTAAATTGTCTTTGACACACAATTCTAAAAAATGTTGAAATTAGTAGGAAATTTAATGACTATTAAAATTATTAATTAACAAAGGCAATTAATTACATGCTAATTACAAGCTAATTACAAGCTTAATTACAAGCTAAATACTAACTTCCAAGCGAAAATAAAAGCTAATCATTAAAGTAAGCTATGCAATTGATAATTATAAAAACAAATTAACAAAGGATAACTAGCAAAAAAAAAAAAGCTAAGAATTAATAATTAGCAAAAAACTAACTAACAAGAAATCACAAAAAATAATAATTAATGTAAAAAAACTAACAGTTAATAACTATGGAAAACAAGCTAACAATTAATAAGTAGCAAAAAAAAACTGTTACTAATAAAAAATTAGTCGAAAGAAATAATTAATCCCTTAATAAATGTGCTTTTGTAGTACATATTTTATTTCACATTCAAAATTATTATCACAAACTATTTAACACAGTGTATTATAGGTAAGTAAACAACTTTTAAACAAATTTTTTTCATTGTGTGCCATCAAATTTCGAAATCGTTAAAAGTGTGCTGCAACAAAAAAAAGGTTGAGAATCACTGCTCTAGAGTATTGCGTTTGGGGGATTCTAGTCTAAAAATATTGAGCAGCACAGACTCCCTCAAAGCTTCTTTATTGCGTAAAGGGGACCAATTACCTCTTAAAATGATTCGGGCGGTCATCTGACAATGGCGTAAGAGATTATCTTTTGTAATCGATAAAGATGATGGTCGATTGAAATAAATTTTTTTTAAGGTGAACTTACATTTATAGTGTTCCTCATATTTGTGTATTTATCATTTTCTATTTAATGTGTATACAGCAAAATGCTTTGATATTTGTAACACTATTTCGCAGCCATTTGCATGCATTGCTGATTTTTATTTATGTAATAAAAGCCTTTTCTTTTTTTTAAATTGGCTTTAACATAATTCGAAGGTCTAAAAATTATTCTGAATGAAAACTGCTGCTTTATTATTGACATATATGTTGCCCAGGTTAAGTTTTGAATGCCATTTCTTTTTAGTATATGAAATGATGTTTGTTATTAATGTATGCCTTTATATAGCGTATTCTTTTTCATTTCTTAAAAATTTATATAAATGGCGGTTGATATGGTCTCGAAAATTGTTAAACTCTTCTTTTATATTACTTACCCTTAAAAAGCTAAGATGTCGAATCATGGTTGAAATCGTATTTCAGGAAGTTTTCGAAAGCTGAAAATATATCACATATTGATTATTATTATATTAATACTTATGCAACATTATAGGGATCTTTCAAGCATTATGCAAACATAAAAGGAATTGGGGCTTGTGATTCACTTATTTTTTCTGAAAAATAGCAGATGGGGTATGAGCCATGCATGCGTAAGACATTTAAATAAAAAAAATTTAAAAAATTTTCTTAAAAAAAATAGCAGTTAAAATAACTTCAAATTTAAAATAAAAGTTCGACAACAATTGCTGTTATGTGCTTAATAGTTCAAGAGTTTTAACAGAAATAATGAATATTCTTCTCAAAATTTCATAAAATGAATTGAAATATTCACTGATTTTATTTTTTGAAAAATTACCTTATTTATTTGAATTCTAAACTTCGATTACTTCAAGAAGAGCTACAATTAGAGCAAGATGGTGCGTTGTTACTTTTTTACTTAAGCATAGGATGTGATTTGCTTATTTTCGGTGACTAAGTGTCCAAAATTGAAGGAAAAAAAAACACTTTAAATGAACGGCCCCATATAGTTAGAAATATATCCTCTTTTTGATGTTAAAGATAACGCACATTTTATTCATAAATTACAAAATGCTACAAAATTGGAAATTCATAACTAATTTCAGTTCATTCTTAAAGAGGAGAATTTAATCTTAAGGGATGAAAGACACAAACAATGAAAAATACAGACTCAAAATTGTTAATGATATAAAAGTTAACAAGTTTATATTGCACTAACTTTTTTTTTCAATGTTATTCTCCTTGGTAATTTTGAAGTGGTTTCTGCACTATTTCTTTACCTGAAAAAGGTGTCAAACATGTTAAGGATGGAACATTTTCTGGGATCACGTTATTTTATAAGGAATAGGGAATTCCAGTTTTAATCTACTCTGTTATTAGTAAACTAAATTATTCTTTATTGTTTGTTTTCTCAATTTGACCTTTATGAAAATATAAAAAATGAGAATGCTGCTGGCACTTCCAACTTTTATAAATTCTTTGGAATATGGCTTTTTATTCGACACAGAGAAAGATTTATTTTTGAATTAGAGAGGATTTTATCAGAACAGAATAATGCAGATAATTATATCGGATTTTGACCTATACAAGAAGGGTCAGAAGTAAACTATTCCACTGCCGTGCAGCCTAAGGCTGCAAAAATCGGTTTCAACCGCATATAAATATAGTTTAATTAATAGTCTACAGCAAAAAAATAAAGCAGTTAAAAAAATAAGAAGGAACAAAAATGCTATACTTACAGCAAAAGTTTTAAGAGTCGTCAAAATTGTTCCAATTTGATATGTCAGCATCTAAATATGTCTAGCAGTTCTCACACTCGATTAACCATGTTAAAAACATCCAAACGGGCCCTCGGACAACTGAGCAAAATAATCCTATAAAAACAAAAATATGTTGCATTAAAATAATGTGTAAAAAATTATTCATTTCTCCGGAGATCGAAAGCAAACTTGCAAAAATTACATGATTTAAAAATTAAGTGTGAGAAACATGCAAAAAGATACACTTTTTCTTAAGATCCTGAAAAACAACCACTTTTATTATAATTGAAAACTTTCAAATAAAATCAGTATAACTCATTAAAACTTAAGAGTAATAATAAAACTCATTAAACAATAGATCAATAAAAGTTTAACCTGAATAAAAGAATATAATTTAACTATTCTTGTGGTAAAGCATATCGTTAAGATTTACCGAGGCTTGTTTACACCATTCCTTCAAAGTTTGCCAAATAATGCATTGTATTGCTGAATTTGATATCTTTTTAAAATCAAAAATAATTTACAGAATACTTAGTTAGAGCATAACACTTGAACCAAATTATTGTCAAAAATAAATATTTATAATTATTACATTCGTAGGAAGTTGCTTTTTACCTATTGGCAAAATGGGTCTTGTTTTGGGTTTTATAGCGTGCGCACTTTATTTGGACGTCATCACACTTTTCAACTGCGTTCAAGAATAATAGTCAACAGTGCGCATGCGTCGTCATTGCACGCGTTGCTATGGCGACCGCTGCTGTTTGATAATTTTTCCTAGATTTCTTTTTGTTTTCACCAGCAGTCATTCTCAATGCATTTACATGATATTAATTTAAAGTATTTTTATATTCTTTTTATTATTAACTTATAATTACTGCCTTGACGGTGATTTCAATATAAATATAAATACTGAAGAAGTATTTTGTGACGTCTTGAAACACGTATATAGGCAGGATTTGAAAACCAAATCGACGACAAACATCAATTGATGACAGTTTTTGCCATCCATGATATGGAATATTGCAAACCAGAAAAAAAAGCATTTGACCGAAGGGTCTCCAGTTAATATTGCGATCAAAATTTCTAATTTTTCTTTTAAATATTAGAAACAGTCTAATAGTTGCTAAAAAAATCTGTTAGATAATCGGAATTATATTTGTGCTAAAATATATATAAAAAAAAAGTAGTTTGAAAAAAACATTTTTGCTATTGTTTTCTATTGCTAATTTTTTTTTTTTTTTTACATCATACTTAAAATATGTGAAGCCTAATAATTCTGTTAAATGGCTCTGTCGAGAATGAAGCCAAATTCTACAATAATTCTAGCCAAAATTACTTGAAGGTTGAATGTAATATCTTCACTGCACGTGATGGTCACATAAAATATTGCCGGTAAACCAAAGAAAAGTTTTATTCCTGATTTCTATTCTTCTAATAAACTAACTTAATTTACGATAAATTCCAAACATGTTTCTCGATTTTTAAACATATTTATGTTTCTCAGTGTAAGATTGTTATAGTATTAATTTGTTGCTATAAATAAATATTTCACTAAGAATTTTTTTTTTTATTCTAATCAATGAAGTAACTAAAGCAATGTATCAGAGCAGGGGTCGGCCAAGTGGTCCATACGATATAGGAGGTCGATGAATTAATACCAATGCTATTTAAAAGCAAATGTTTTAATAGTAACTCAGTATAAATAATTTTCGCCTGCAGATTCGACAGAAAGCAGCAGAATCGAGTCATTCGCAGCAATACCTGGGAGCCGTCTAAAATGAAAGTCCTTGTACTAAGTTGAGTTTGTGGCTATGTGAGAATAGTATAGCTTGTCTGTGGTAAGAACTCCCCCCGCCACAAAGTTTCAGGCCGGCTGCCGCTATGGAAAAAAGGATAGCGCATCTCAGGGAGGGTTGCTTTGCTTTATTCTGGGGCTAACACAATAGATCGAAGAAAAAGATTCCCATTCTCTCACCTAAAAGACCGAGCCAAAATCTGTTCTAAAGAATGACCCTACTCGAAATTTACAGCTCGTTGCCATAGTCACCGCCACGAGTCCAGACGAATGACTAGGGGAGTTCTTACTTTAGACAAACTATACCAAAACTGCGGTTGTTGACTTTTATGAGAAATTAAAACATTTAAGTCATATTACCGTTTGATACGGGATGCTTAAACGCGTTTAATTTTCTGATGCGTTACTTTTTCACTTGTTATACGCATTATATTTTAAACGTTATTTTATGATTTGCTTTTACGTAATCACTCTTTTTAAACATTGCTTTCACGCGTATACATTTCTTATAATTTTACACGCTACTTTTTTATTTGCTATTATTTAATTCAACATTTTTTACTTAATTTATATTTTCCTTTTTTTAATGAGTTACTTTTACCTTTTGTTATGCATAACTTTAATACATAGTGCATGTTTCTCGTTACTTTAGTCGTTTACTTTTACATTTCGCATGCGTTATTTCCTAGTTATATGCGTTATGTTTTGCGCGTTAGTATTTTCTTTGCGGTACTTTTCTTATGCGATACTTTTGCCTTTCTTATACGCGAATTTTTGTGTTACAGCATTTTGCGTTTTTATATTTTATGCATTAGTCCTCTTTGTGATGTTTTCAAGCCTTGCTTTTCCTTAACAGTTACTTTAACGCATTCTTATTTTCTTATGCTTTACTTTTCCGTGTTATATTTTATGCGTTATTTTTTCCTAAGCGGTATTTTTTTAGCGATACTGTTACATTTTGTATGCACTATTTTTACGAGCTGCACTTGTTAATTTATGCGTTATATTTTGTTTTTCTTCATGCGTTACTTATACGCTTTACTTCTCTTTATGTATCGACTTATACACATTTTATTTTATATTTTAAGATTTACATTTCTTTGTACGTTACTTTTTCGCGTTTACTCTTTTAAGCGTTACTTTTTGAGCGTTTATATTTCAAACGCATACTTTTACTTGTTACGTTTCTTTATGCGTTGCTTTTAAGAGTTTACTATTCACATGCATTATTTTAGATTTTTTTTATACGTTACTCCTGCTACTTTATCTTTTAATTCGTCACTTAAACACTTTATTGCAACTCCTTACTTCTCTTTTACTAGATTACGTACTGCATGTATTACTTTTACTCGCTTATTTTACTTTTCCTATTCGTTACTTATACAGGTTTACTTTTTCATACGTTATTTTTAAGCATTTAAATTTATTATGCATAATTTTAACGCGTTTTCTTATCTTGAAAGTTGCTTTTTATGTTATGCGTTATAAAATTTTTCGTCCTTACTCTTCTTATGCATTACTTTTTCACGTACTTTTTTTAAACATTACATTTAGACGTCCAGTTTTCTTGTGGATTATACTTAATTCAACACGTAATTATATTGGGTTGTTCGGAAAGTAATTTCGTTTTTCTTTGGGAAAATGAAAGACAATTTTCGCATAATGAATAAATATGTTATTAAATTATATATTGGCCATTCTGGTCCAACACCTTTAGCCATCTTTCTGGTAGTAGCATGATTCCACGCTCATAAAATGTTTGGTCTTTGCTGGCAAAAAACTTATCCAGCTGATTTTAGACCTCTTCATTTGAAGTAAAGGTTTCACAGTCCAAAAAATTTTTAACTGACCGGAATAAACTATAATCCGAAAGCTCCAGATCTGGAGAAAATGGTGGGTGTGGCGGCGTATCCCATTCAAGATGTAAAAGCTTTTGGCGAGTGGCCAAACTTGTATGGAATCTCGCATTATCTTGGTGGAACACTATACCTTTTCTGTTGATTAATTCTGGCCTTTTCTGTTGAAGTGCATCATTCAGTTTGTCCAGCTTGCGACAGCAGACTTCCGAATTAATTGTTGTGTTATCCAGTAAAAGCTCAAATAAAAAATCTTTTAAAATCCCACCAAACAGACAGCATCTTTTTTTTTGTTGATGGATATTGGCTTTCGAAATGCTTTGAGCCGGTTCATCTTCGTTGCTCCATGATCTCTTGCGTTTGACATTGTTATAAACAACTCATTTTTCGTCCCCAGTAATGATGCGCTTCAAAAATGGATAATTTTCGTGACGTTTGAGAAGCGAATCACAGACGTCAATGCGACGACACAAATTTCTCTCCGTGAGAACATGGGGAACCCTTATATCGACCTTCAAGGTTAAACCCAGGCCTTTCAAGTGGTTTTAAACAGTTGAATTCGACTATCACCGATCTCACGTGTTGTTATTTGCCGATTTGCATCAACTAATGTCTTTATCGTGTCATTATCAGCTTCAACCAGCCTTCCAGAACGTGGTGCATCTTCATCAAAATTGCCAGATCGAAATTTTGCAAACCAGTTCTGGTACTGGCGTACTGTCAACACATCTTCTCCATACACATCAGTTAATTTCTTTCGGGCATGAACAGCATTTTTACCTTTTCTATAGCACAAAAGTAAAATATGACGGCTGCTTATTACTCTTCATATTTAGAAGGGCACCAACCAAAAACTACTGCGTAGAATTAATTGAACTTTTGCACACACAAGCCTTTACTATGTCAGCTCTCAAAACATATAATGATAATGCTTCTTAACTGTGAAGTTGGGTTCGAAAAAATACAACTAAATCCTCGGTTCGAAAAACGAAATTACTTTCCGAACAACACGATATTATAATTTTACTTTTCTTTATGTGTTACATTTTATTGTTAATTTTACGTATTACTCTCTTAAGCGTATAACATAGCAATGCATAACCTTTCTTTTACACGTTCTTAAATTTTGCAAGTTACGTCTTGAGGTGTTACTTTTATGTGCTATTTAATATTACGTGTTAATTTTTTAGACGTTTGACTTACGCTTTCTATACTTTAATTTGTTCCTTTACTCCTGCGTTAAATTTACTTTTTATGCGTTATTTTCACAAGTATTGAAGTATCATATTCATACCTGCCAACTTAATACGCATTTGGCGTAAAATTGTATTTCTATGTTTCGAGTGGTAGTAAAATGTATGCTTTCAAGATATTCCTTGCATTTATAAACTTAATTTATAAACTTTTTGACCGCCACTATTTTTTAGAAAATTAAGCATAATATGTAATGCAGTCCTGCATAAACTTTTTTTAAATGCAGCGTATGTTTCTGCCTAAAATTGCGATTTAAATTCCATTTTACTACCATTGGGGAAAATCATCCTCATAAGGATTAAAAGTTGTCAGGTATGCATATTTATTACTTTTGTTTCATTCTTCTTATGAAATTTGTGCGCTACTTTCTTAAACGTAACTTTTACGTGCTAATTTTGATTACGTGTTTTTTACTTTCATGCATTTTTTGATTAATAAATTCTCGCTATTTTTACGCGTTTTCTTTTTTCGTAATGCTTTAATGTTACTTTTGAGAGTTTTCTTGTTTATGCGCTCTTTTACTTTTTCTGCATTCATTTTACACACTCACTTTACACTAATCTTCAACGCATTCATATTACCCGAATACTTCGCATTATCTTGTTAATTTACGCGTTACTTTTTTTTATTTTACACGCTTTTTACTGTATATTTTTATTTTTATTTGTTACATTTACTCTCCTTTTTCATTAATTTTTACACCTTTGCATATTTAAGGTTTATAATTTTTTGAGTGTTACTTTTCTTTATGCATTGCTTTCAAGCGGTTTCTTTAAATTTACAGGTTTTTATTACTTTTAAGCGTTTTACGTTTATTTTTATTATTTTAGCGTTTATTTTTTATGGATTACTTTTGCCCGTATGCGTTATACGTACTGTATTTTACGCTTTAACTTTCATCATGCGTTTCATTTAAGTGTTCTAAGCTATAATTCGTCGCATTAATTTTCTATGAACTTGCTTTTCCTTATGCCTCAATTTCCAAAATTTCTTACAAATATTTTATGCTTTAATGCGTTAAATTTTCTTTTTTCTGCGTTTACTTTTCTTAAGCGTTAATTATATTTTTCGCACTACTTTTTTCCCCTTTAATTAACACACTTTTAAGTTTATATTTCACGTTTTTTTTTTATTCTTTAGTTCATGCGCAACGTTTTACGCTTTCCTTTAAACTTCACGCCTTACTTTACTTCATACTTCGCTGTAAGCGCTTCATATTTCTTTTTATTTTATCTTTTGGCCTACTTCATTTTCTACTATACTTTACTTTTTACTACATTGTATTTTTTTCTCTAATTTATATTTTACGCTTTAATTTACTTTCTCGTTGTATCTTTTATTTAACTCGCCATTTAATTTGAATGCGTTTTACTTTTCTCTCTACTTAATATTGTAAGATATATATTTTTTGTTTTATACTTTATCTTATACTTAACGTTTTTTATTTCACTCTTTACTTTACTTCACACTTGCTATTTTTTTTACACTTAACTTAATATTTTCTCTTATTTTTACTTTTATATTTCAAATGTTTAACATCACTCTTCAAAATTTACGTTATACTTAGCGCTTAACTTTATGCTTTACATTACACTTTTTCTTACGTTTTACTTTACATTTTACTCTTTAGTTTAATTATATACTTTACGCACCACTTCTTACATTATGCATCATTTTATGTTTTACGTTTTACTTTATATCTTACGCTGTAATTTATACTTCACGTTTTACTTAACCTTCTAATTTCCACTTGGCACGCATTTCATTTTACATTTAATTCTACGCTTACTTTTTAGTTTATAAAATTTTTGCACTGTTTCCCACTTTTTACTTTACGCATTACTTTATTAATTGTTTCCTTTACATTTTATGAATTAGTTTATACTCCTCATTCCATTTTACTTCATACATTTATTTATGCTTGGTTTACTTGATGCTTCAACTTTATACTTAACTTTAAGCTATGCTGTATTTTTTACTATATTATATTTTAGAGTCTTCATTACTTTACACTTTACTTTTTACTAAATTTTACATTTTATTATAACTTCTACTTTACGCATTACTTTATACTTCAAGCTACATGATAAAGTTTTTTAAATTTCTTGCTTTTTTTTATTCGATATTTTATTTTTTTCGATATTTCATTTTATACTTAACATTTTATTTTAAACTTTACTGTATATTACACTCTTCACTTGAAATTACCTTTATTTGCTTTACATGTTTCTTAATATTTTACAAATTTTATTTAGCTATACTTTCTACTTTGCTTTATTTTTTTCTATGCTTCACCTTTTGTACTTTTCGATTTTTACTTTCAGCTTTACTTTTTTATATTACGCTTTCATTTAACCCTTTATTTCATACTTATGCTCAACTTTTTTTTTCTTCACTTTATCACACTCTTTACGTACTATTTTACATTATACTTCATATTTTATACACTTTACCTTTTCCTGATATTTCACTTTCTACTACTCTTTATTCTTTGCTATAATTTTTACTAAAAATATTCTAAGTTTTACTTCATTTTACGTTTTATTGTGTACTATACACACATTCTACATCATTAAATATTTCACTTTTTTCACCTTCTATTTCCACTTTACGTTTTATGCATTACTGCGAGCAATTTTTATTTTACGCTTTACTTTAAATTTTATGCTTTACTTAATTTGATTCCGCATCATTTATTATTTAGACGCTTCAGTATAACATTTGCATCAATAATTTACTAATCTTTTTTCACGCAAAATTAAACCATATTCAAATATACGAGAAAGAGAATTCTACAGAACTATTTATAAACAAAACAGAAACTAAACTAAGCTAAATTTAGTTTAAATTTACACGTTATTTATAAACCAGATACATTTGAAGTATTCATAATATAAGTAAATTCTGATATTTTAGTAAATTTGAGATTGAATTTATTTAAATTTTTATTATCAGACATCGCGCATAACCTTCCACCCACTTTGCCCGAAAAAGTGAGCAAATCACAAATCCCTTTCCGACTTTCGTTAGATTTGAACGGCTTAAAAATTTATTGAGGCACTACAATACAATTCTTACCAGAGCTATGATGAATCACACAATACTATTTTCCTTCATAAAGACAACATCCTGTCCTATAAAATTCAAAGTAATCAATAAAATATAAAATATCAGCCTTTTAAAATAATAATAAATTTGCGATACATATGAATAAGTGGTCACTATTGCTTCTTTGATCGAAGAAAAATTTTACTGCAATACTATTTTACAATACTGTATTAACCTCTGTCAACTAAAGTTGGCCTTCTAAATGTAGGGATTAATTATTAGTGGACACGGGAAAATAGGGAGACTAAATATATGGATATAAAACAATTGCCTGCCATTCGCCACCTGACGCAACTTTTCCCCGCCGAAATTGCACCATGTATTCCAAAATCAGTGACTTCGACTTTTTGTATAAAGCAAGAAAGATGCTATTTTCACCGAAAATTTCATTGCCCACATTCTTGTTGTTATTTCTTCCAATTCCACTTGCCCATACCAGCAAGCCTGCTGGGTGAAACCAAGCGAATTTTAAGCAGAGGGTGCGCTTCTTGTTTCTCAGTGGCACCTTCTATGGCCAAGAATTCGACTTCAGACACACATACGCCACAGCACGTTTAAGGGGTTAACCCATTCATTTATTCATCCATAGATCATAACTTTGACCTGAACCAGAGAACAATCTAGCTGCAATTCATTTCCCCCAGAAGTTTCATTTGTTGTGGAAACATTGAAGATTTTGTGACCCGACCGAGATAACGTACACCAATCACCATTTACTAAACGGGGAGTCTTCGGTGGACGAGGATCAAACTCACGGCCACTTAAACATGGTGTTAACGCTCTACCATTCAGGCTATCCTGGTCTCCGAAGAATTCTTTCATTCTTGGATGTTACAAAATTACCAAATAATATTTCAATGACGAATAAAAAAAAATTTTTATCTCCTCCACTTCAGGCAATACGAAAAACCGAGATTTACAGTGATAAAGGTTTCTTTTAAGAATTAAAAAAATATGATTTTTTTATTAGAATTAAATTTTAAATTGTTTTTGACGGCGATTTTATTCAGGGGCATTTTTAAGTGTTTTTAATAGACTCTTTCTATCGTCGTTTTTTTCGAAAATTTCCTGGTTTTGAGTTTTGTTTTACGAATAAGTGACTATTTTTTTTCAGTTTTATATTTCTCACTAATTTTTTTTTAAACATTTTCAATATTTTCTTCATTTTTGAATAATGAAACTCTAAATAATTTTATTTTACAATATCAATATTTCAGGGGAACAGAATTTCGTTGTCAAAGATTCATTTAGAAATAAACTTAATTACACATCAAATTTTAATTTATGGTTGATAAAAAATAATTTAATATAATATATTGCGCTAGATTTATCCTAATAATATCAGTTTTGTTCAGTATCTAATAAACTTTACGAATCTAAACTAACACTTATTGCATCTAGCATTACTGATTTAAAAGATTAAGAGCTAACGTTTATAAAATAAAAACGTTATTTATACTATGCTTAAATTTTAAATAAAATTACTTAAAAGGTACAGAAAATTTTTTCTGCATTTTAGAAATGAATCGTGTAGTGTAAATTATATTTTGAGAAGTGCTTTATTTAAATAATATGAATAGCTATTTTAATCGCTTTAAATTTCCAATTTTTGAAAAAGTGGCCCCCTTAAAAAATGACACTGGCACACCTAAAAAATGACACACAATTTGTTACTAATTTTTCCTATTTCGCTTAGCAAAAAAATCATAAAAAGTTTCAGCAAAATTTACTTTTGGTTAAATTTTTCATCGATCCTCCAAGTTCGAATTGTGCTTCAAAACGTTATCGAATTATAGCAAATAGCTTGCCGAAACTTTTCGCGAAGGAAGCCACAAAATAAAAAGGATATAGTGCAAAAAGAAAAATATATGAAATGTAGCGACTTGATGAAGTAGGAAAAAGTTTGAACCTTGCCACCAATCTTCAGCAAAAATAGATTCTCAACGTGGATGCTTCTACTGGATCAATTATAAGTTACAGAAAAAAATATTAAACATTGAGTTATACAATATAAAAAACATTTTTCTACAAAAATATTATATATATTTTTATCTCTGCGCATATCTCGTGTAATTATCTCATGTTATATCTCATGTCATATCTCATGTCATGTCAATTTTAAGAGCGGACGATTGCCCTTTCTGGAAATTGTTAGCCCAAGTATATGCTATTTTACCTACCAGAGACTTCTGGGAAAAGAAATTTTTCGTTTTCTTATGTTTAGAAAGTTTGAATTTTGTCTTCATAAGATAGCTACCGTGCTTTTTAGAGAAGCCATCTACGGCCAATAATGTGACTTCAGACACACACACGTCGCAGCTCATTAAAATGGTAGACCCATTTATTCATCCACCGATCATAATTTTGATCTGAACCAGGGAACGATTTAGCGAACAGTTCCCACCAAAGTTTGATTTGTAATGGAAACATGGAGGACTTAATGACCTGACCGAGTTAAAGTGCACTAGTTACCATTTGCTAAATGGGGAGTCTTCGGCCGGCGAGGATCGAACTCGAGACCATTTAAACATGGTCCCAGCTCCTTACTAACCACGATATCCCGGTCTTTGACGAATTCTCTCGTTTTATGATGTTAATAAGAAAAAAATGACGAATAAAACTAATTTTTTCATCTTCTCCACTTGCGGCAATGCGAAAAACAGAGATTTATAGCGAATATGGTTTCTTTTGAAAATTTTAGAAATAAACCGCGTAGTGTATATGATGTTTGGAGAAATGCCTTACATAAATAATATGAATTAAATATATTTTGAAAAAGTGGCCCCTATATTTCACACGTTATTTTAATTTTAGTTTACTCTTGTCTTATATTAGTTTTAGTCAAAACTATATATAAACTGCTGTTTGTAGAAANAGTCGAGATTATAAAAATGATGATGGCGGTATTTTGATAAATGTCTTGGTTAAATTTTGTCTGTTATGTGTCGTTTTTATGTCTGTTTTGTGCATCTCTAACTTGTGAATAAATAATTTAAGATGCAAGCTACTAGTCTTTTCTGAGAAAGTTTAAAAGTCTTTACATTATATTCTATGGTTTACTATACTTGCTACTTGACATGCATTTTACTTTACATTTAATTCTACGGTTACTTTCCAGTTACCACAATTTTTAATTAGGCTTTCCACTTTTTACTTTAAGCTTTACTTTACTAGCTGTTTTCTTTCCTTTATATTTTGTGATTTAATTTGCACTCCACATTTTATTTTACTTCATGCTTTACTTTATGCTTAGTTTACTTGACGCTTCTACTTTATACTTTACTTTAAGCTATGCTGCGCTTTTTACTATATTTTATTTTAGTGCCTTCTTTACTTTACACTTTACTTTTTACTGTATTTTACATTTTTTTATACTTTCTAATTTATGCATTGCTTTATAATTCAACCTTATTTTCATTTTTACATAATACACTTTTATATAATTTCTTGCCTTATATTATTCTATATTTAATATGATATTTAACGGTTAATTTTACACATTACTGTATATAACACACCTCGCTTGAATTTACGCTTTATTTGCTTTACACGTTTCTTAATATTTTGCACATTACTTTACGCTCTACATTCCACCATGCTTAACTTTTTTCTATATTTAACTTTCTATACTTTCCGATTTTTACCTTCCTCTCTTTACTTTACGCTTTACTTTTATATTTTCCGCCTTCATTTAATTCTATTTTTTACATACGCTTGACTATTTTTCAAATTTACTTTATGCTTCACTTTATATCTCACTCTTTACGTAATGCTTTACCTTATACTTCATGTTTTACGCTTTAACTATTCCTGATATTTTACATTTTTCTACTCTTTTATTCTCTCCTGTAATTTCTAGTTAATATTTTAAGTTTTACTTCATTTTCTCCTTATTTTTATTTTACTCACAGTAAACATTTTAATTTTTGCACCTTATATTTTCGCTTTGCCTGGTTTTTTATGCATTTCTGTACGCAATTTTTATTTTACTCTTTATTTTAAATTTTAAGATTTACTTTATTCTATGCTTATTTTTTAATTTCGATTACGCGTAATTCATTATTTGAACGCTTCAGTAAAGCATTTGCATCTTAAATTCAGTAAAGCATTTGCATCTTAAATTCATTAATTTAATCCTTATTCACACAAAATTAAAGCATATTCGAAGATACGAAAAAAAGTAATTTCTACTTAACTATTTATAAACAAAACAGAAATATTTAGCTTATTGTACGATATTTAATTTTATTTTTTTGTCGCAATTTGGCAAGGTTTACCAAGGTTCAATAAATTTAATTCTTCTCTACATTGAGATTTATTAAGAAACTCTTATTTTAAATGCAAAATGTTTCATTCTTAATCGAGACATTTCAATAAAACGATATATATTTAATATTACAGGAAATTAATCTAGAAATGTTTTTATTATCATTATTAGCAAACAATCCCTATCAGGACGTTACGGAATTCTTTTTCTAATATAGATTTCACGTTTTCATTACATTCGAAACCGCATGCTTACAGTCTTGATCACGTTGCGAGTCAAATGGCTTTAAAATACAACGGAAACAGAAACCCGGGAGTATAGGAGGTATAGAGCTTGCAGCAATCTCTAATGTAGAAAATACCATCCGTATGATAAATATATTTCAAATTATGTTGCAGCAGGTTTCCTTTATTAGTTTAAAGAATTTTGATCTTTTGAAGTTAGTTTATTATTAGTTTTAGTGCCACTTGTAATTAATTCATAGTTGATTTTAAAGTCCCAAAAATTCAGTTAAATTTGTATCGTATTAGAAGTTCGAAACTAACTGTAAACCTATGCGTAACTCGGATAAATCATGTTTTTTGCGCTTAGTTGTTTTTTCTTCTTTCCATTTATGGTGCAAATACAGTTATTTAATTCACGTTATATATTATTTAATGATTAGTAAATAAAGTATTTTCCGTTAACTATTTCTCTTCTTAAATTATAATTTCATTTAGAATTATAAATCTATCTATAAGTCTGAAATTAATGTCCGCG